CCGACCTGTTCCCGGAACCCCTCCACCCGCAGCAGTCACGGGGAAGCATGAGGGCAGAAGGCTAATGCAGGGGCAGGGTGGTGGGGGGGACCTCCCAGGGCACGTGTGTTGGGGCTGGCGGATTCCACCAGGCTCCTAGTTCTGTCTCAGAGCCTATCACTCCTGGTCACGAGATTCCCAAACGAAATGCTTTCAGTTTTGCCCGTCCCACTGCTCGGATTTAATCACAGTCTTAATCTCTGAGACCATTAGCCCTCCCGAACCGGTTTGGAGTGACAGTGGAGAAAAGCCATTAGGGCAAGGAGGTTGACCAGTTGCAAGGACAGCGGAATGGGTCTTATAAAGTGGATACCCCAGATGCAGACCACTGAATTTCGATGGTGTGTCCGTCTCTGTCTGCTAAAGAACTGAGTTCACGTTCTGGCCAAATCAAAGGGAAGTCCGGGCCGGGGTTCCGCCCACACGACACTTGGCTTGACCACCTCTGGGGTCAGCTGCCCTCGGAGCCTTGGAGCACAATGGCGATTGGGAGTGGTCACCCGCCTGAGCAAATAAAACTGGAAAGCAAGTCAAAGTTTCTCAGCAAATGCCCAACTAACAAAGGCAGGAGTGCTCCCTGACTCACGATCAAGGCTGAGCTGGTGCGTCTGCTGATAAAGGTGCAGGCACGTTCCTGAGCGCAGGTGGAGGTGCCCACTCGGGGGCCCCGCGTGTTAACCTTGTCTGTCTCTCAGCACCACCCTCACGCTGGCTGGGGTCGTTACTCCCGCGGGCAGGACTTGCTGTCCATTTGCAGCCACCAAAGCCCCAGCCCTCGTCGGCTGCAAAGTGGCGCATTTCCATCCAGAAGCTTCCCCCGACCCCTGCTCAAGGGGCACCAGGCACAAGTTGCCCCAGCAGCAACCGTGCTGGGTGGCACTCTAGCTTTGCCTGCCCACCTGCCCGTCCTCTCTGCTCTCTCAGGTCCCTGGGAAGTCGTTGGCAATCCTCATGTATACCCGGACATGGGTTCTGCATGTCCGGCTGAAGCCTCAGCTCTAGTGTCCACAGCAAGCACGGGTCCCAGGGCGAGGCTGTGGGAGAGGACAGGGCCAGGAGCCCGGAGCCGGCTTCCTGTCTCAGTTCAGGCACCAGCTGGCCTCCTCCCTGGGCCTCAGCTCTGTGGGCTCCACAGCCATGACCGGTGCCCGCCACGGGCTAGTGGGCCTCACCTCCCCCACCACCATTGCAACCTCTCAGAAGGAAAGAAGATTTTTACAAAACACACCACATAGAAAAAGAAAATGTAAAAGCCCGACCCAACTGAAAATGGAGTTTTCAACATCTGCTTAAGGTTAGTAGGAAACCGGGGTCCAAGTCTACGGAGCTCTAGTGGATTTCTACGGGAGGCTGAGCTCAGGCCAGGAGCTAATGTCCCATAGTGGGACCAGGGCCGGCTACGCAATGTCCATCACCCACGGACCCTTCCCCACATCTCTGCAGCAGGTGGATGGGCGGTGGGGGTGGGTGAGGAGGGGGGCTGTTGGCAAACAGAAGGTGATTTGGTTGTGATAAAGCTGGGGCTTTGCAGGAGCCCAGAGGAAGGCCAGGACCCTTCTCCCATGGCGAAATATCACCCGGTTCTGTGCCCCCAAATCGGCACCGAAGTGCAGAGGTCAGTCTTTGATCAGCTAGCCTCGGGCCCCTGGGCATCCAGCCTTAAGTCTCCTGGGCTGACCACAGCCTCAGCCCCACTGGCACGCGGACCCGCGGCAGGGCTCTGGGTGAAACCACTCTTTTGTCCAAAACGGGCTGGCTGAGAACCCAGGCGTTTCTGATCAGGGTGGAAAGGGAGGCCCGGGTTCGGTGGAAAGGGAGCGCCCCCACCCCCCCTCACTAGCCGGGACAAAGACCGGGGAGCCGCTGGGGTCCGGTGGGGCTGCACAGGTCACCGCGGACTCTCCCTACGCCCAGTCCCCAGTCCTGGGCGCCACACCGGTCTCCACATGCCCCCTTCTGACGGCACTCACCGGCTCCTTTCTAGGGGTGTGCAGGCCCTGGCCCGGCCCCCGGGGCTGCTCTTTCCGGTCCTCCGAGGGAAAAGAAGGCGACAAGACAGGGTGTCGGGTCCGGGCACACTGGGGCGAGGCGGTATAGTCGGGGCCAGGCGGGGCGTTGAGCGCAGGGGGCCAGGCAGGGTGCGGGGCGCCGGGCACTGGGCACCTGACCTGCAAGGGTGGCCGGGCTCGGACCACAGCCGGGTGGGCCCCGCCTGGGTCACGAGGGCCGAGCCCCGCCCCGCCCCGCCCCGCCCAGCTCCGGGTGCGCCTCCGGGTGCCGCGCGAAGGGCGCAGGCGCTGAAGGCGCAGGTGCAGAGGCTCGCCCCGGACTCCGCGCCCCAAGCCACCCTCCGGGACAAAGGTGGCGGCGGGGA